CCGCTCATCATACACCACTTATCATACACCACTCATCATACACCACTTTTCTTACACCACTTATCATACACCACTCATCATACACCACTTATCACGCACCACTCATCATCCAGTTAGCTCTAGTTTCAGCTCCAGGTAGCTCTAGTTTCAATAGCTCTAGCTCCAGTTAGCTCTAGTTTCAATAGCTCTAGCTCCAGGTAGCTCTAGTTTCAATAGCTCTAGCTCCAGTTAGCTCTAGTTTCAATAGCTCCAGTCAGCTCCAGTTTCAACAGCTCTAGCTCCAGTTTACGTGGCAGGCGCAGCACTTTGTCAACCTCAAAGTGCAGATTTCGTGGCAGGCCCAGCACTTTGTGAACCTCCATGTGCAGATTTCGTGGCAGGCGCAGCGCTTTGTGAACCTCGATGTGCAGATTTCCAGCGCTTTGTGAACCTCAAAGTGCAGATTTCGTGGCAGGCCCAGCACTTTGTGAACCTCCATGTGCAGACTTTCTGGCAGGCGCAGCGCTTTGTGAACCTCAATGTCAGATTTCGTGGCAGGCGCAACACTTTGTGAACCTCGCTCGACGGTTGCGGGACCATCTGGCGCCATGGTCGGTCATGCTCGGAATCGTCCCTCCATGGTGGTTAGAGTTTTCGCTTGTTTCTTGAAGTGCAGATTTCGTGGCAGGCGCAGCACTTTGTCAACCTCAATGTGTCAAAGTGCAGATTTCGTGGCAGGCGCAGCACTTTGTGAACCTCCATCTGCAGATGTCGTGGCAGGCACAGCGCTTTGTGAACCTCGATGTGCAGATTGCGTGGCAGGCGCAGTACTTTGTGAACCTCCATGTGCAGATTTCGTGGCAGGCACAGCACTTTGTGAACCTCCATGCTTTTCCGAACCTCGACGGGGAAGCTCCGCAGAACGACGGTTGCGGGACGATCTCGCGCCATGGTCGGTCACGCTCGGAATCGTCCCTCCATTGTGGTTAGAGTTTTCACTTGTTTCTTGAAGTGCAGATTTCGTGGCAGGGGCAGGACTTTGTGAACCTCCATGTGCAGATTTCGTGGCAGGTGCAGCGCTTTGTGAACCTCCATGTGCAGATTTCGTGGCAGGCGCAGCACTTTGTGAACCTCGATGTGCAGACTTCGTGGCAGGCGCAGCGCTTTGCGAACCTCAAAGTGCAGATTTCGTGGCAGGCACAGCGCTTTGTGAACCTCGATGTGCAGACTTTCTGGCAGGCGCAGCGCTTTGTGAACCTGAAAGTGCAGATTTCGTGGCAGGCCCAGGGCTTTTGTGAACCTCCATGTGCAGATTTCGTGGCAGGCGCAGCGCTTTGTAAACCTTCATGTGCAGATTTTGTGGCAGGCACAGCGCTTCGTGAACCTCCATGTGTAGATGTTGTGGCAGGCGCAGCGCTTTGTGAACCTCGATGTGCAGATTGCGTGGCAGGCGCAGCGCTTTGTGAACCTCCATCTGCAGATGTCGTGGCAGGCGCAGCGCTTTGTGAACCTTGCAGGCTGAGAACTGGCGACTTTGTAGTACAACTGTAGTGCGTGGAGGAACCTGGGGAGCTGGAGGCTGAGAACTGGCGACTTTGTAGTACAACTTTAGCGCGCGGAGCAATCTGTGGAGCTGGAAGCTGAGAAAGCTGAGAACTGGCGACTTTGTAGTGCAACTCGAGTACGCGGAGTATCTGGGGAGCTGGAAGCTGAGAACGGGTGATTTTGTAGTGCAACTGTAGTATGCGGAGCAATCTATGGAGCTGGAAGATGAGAACTGGCGACTTTGTAGTACAACTTTAGTGCGCGGAGCAATCTGGGAGCTGGAAGCTGAGAACTGGCGACTTTGTAGTGCAACTTTAGTACGCGGAGCAATCTGTGGAGCTGGAAGCTGAGAACTGGCGACTTTGTAGTGCAACTTTAGTAGCTGGAAGATGAGAACTGGCGACTTTGTAGTACAACTTTAGTACGCGGAGTATCTTGGGAGCTGGAAGATGAGAACTGGCGACTTTGTAGTACAACTTTAGTACGCGGAGCAGTCATGTCTCCCGACCACCCGGCTCTCTTGAGAGGTTGACAAATTTTAGCGATTTTGCTTACTCAAAAGTGGTCATTTCGATTACTTTGTGGAACTTCAAAATCACATCATAGTTAACGTCTAGCTCCAGTTAGCTTTAGTGGAACTAGAGCTAGAGCTATGCTTCACTCATCGCTCATCACTCATGCGTCTGACTGAGGGACACGAGGGACACGCATGGTGGAAAGAACCGGGACACTCCTATAGGTCAATTTGTTCTTTTAGGAAACTTCCGCCGCCGGCTTGCCGGGAACTACTTGTAAGAGTGTAAGACAAGAGTGTCCTACAAGAGTGTCCCACAAAAGTGTCCGACGCAAGAGTGTTTCACAAGAGTTTTCCACAAGAGCCTGCCACAAGAGTGTCCTACAAGAATGACATACAAGAGTGTCGGACAAGAGTGCCCCACAAGAGTGTAGTGTCCAACAAGAGTGCCCTGCAAGTGTCCTGCAAGGGTGTCCCGCAAGAGTGTCCTACCAGAGTGTTCCGCAATAGTGTCCCACAAGAGTGTCATACAAGAGTGTCCCGCAAGAGTGTCCTACAAGAGTGTCCTACAAGAGTCACAAGAGTGTTCCACAAGTATGTCCGACAAGAATGTCCTCCAAGAGTGTCCTACAAGGGTGTCCCGCGAGAATGTCCTACAAGAGTGTTCTGCAAGAGTGTCCCACCAGAGTGTCATACAAGAGTGTCCCACAAGAGTGAGTGTCAAACAACGTGTCCCGCAAGGACTTCTGACAAGAATGCGTCCTACCTAAGAGTGTACCGCAAGAGTTTCTCGGAAGAGTGTCCTACAGTGCCTCGCAAGAGTGTGGTACAAGAGTGTCCCATCAGAAGAGTGTCCTACAAGAGTGTCTTACAAAGAGTGTTCCGCAAGAGTGTCCTTCAAGAGTGTTCGACGAGAGTTTCCCGCAAGAGTGCTCGACAAGAGTGCCCCACAAGACTTTTGCGCAAGAGTGTCCCACAAGAATGTCCTACAAAAGTGTCCCGCAAGACTTGTCCACAAGAGTTTCCGACGAGAGTGGCGGACAAGAGTGTCCTGCAAGAGTGTCCCACGAGTGTCCTGCAAGGGTGTCCCACAAGAGTGTCCAGTGTCCTACAAGAGTGTCCCACAACAGTGTCCCGCAAGAATGTCCGACAGGAGTGCCCAACAAGAGGGACAAGAGTATCCTACAAGAGTGTCCCACGAGAGTACAAAAGCGCGGTAGTACAAATGTAGTGCGGGAAGCGGCTTCTGGTCCCTCGCGCCTGAGAAACTGGCGGTGAACCGCTTGCTATTCAATTTCGAGACTTGGTTGAACATGGACGCGCCCAATACAATACAATGCTCGATTTGGAGGAGACACATGATTCTTGTACGGTTGTTAGGTCAAGTGCATTTGTGTTGTGAACCTGTGAATGAGAATATTATCACCAGCCCGAAATCGGACCACGATCAGATGGCGTGCTGAGACTTGTCAAAGCAAACCGACATCGTATCACAAAATTTTATTTTATACTCTTTTGTTACCCTTCCCTCGGCCTTGACACAAACGTATGCGAGCAGAGTGATGTTTTTTTAGATAGGCGCACCCCAAGAGCTTTGCCACAGAAAACTCGCAACTTGCGACGCACCCTATGCATGTCTTAAGCCTTAAACCACGCTCCACCTCTACTCTACTCCGCCCCGGAATCGTCTTTGAGAACAATGGCTTATGCTTTTTGGGCCCCTGAGTGAGTTTATCTTGGTTTGGCGTTGCTGCTTTTGGTGGGTGGGTTTTGAGACACTTTGCCACGGCAATCTTGTCACTGCTTCGATTAACATATTTGTTGTGTGGGAAAGCAGACCGGAACCAAGCCCTCTGCTAGGCTTGCTAAGCACTCAACATGGGCATCAGACGTTAGTTGTGTTTGAAGTTTAGAGTTCCAAACTTGTTTTGAGTTTGTGGGCCGTACAGGGCTGTGAGGCCGTACACATTTCTTGGACTCTTTCGACCGCGAAGCAAGAAACTTTAACAAGAAATTGAACAGAGTTCCTACCGCAAGACGGTGGAATGAGAAGCTGTTGGTTTGGCAACGCAATGTTGGCAATGCAACGCAGTTGCAGATACAGCCCACAGCCTTGCTGAATATTTTCTTTTGGAATACATGCTGCAAAGGCGCAGCTTGGCGACATCATGCACGTTTTGCCTTGTTTTCCAGAGATATTCTGTTAGTGCCTGTGTGTAGCAGCGGAAAACTTCCCGCGCCACGCATCCTTTTTCATCTCCCTTTGACCTCAAGTTAAGTTTGCGATCAACCTTAGTCTTGTTTTCCAAACAAGAATGCTTTAAGACATCCCTCAGTGCAGGAAACATTCAGCTGGACAAGCCAGTGCTATGGTGGTTCCTTGGATTTGCCCGTCGAAACAGCATCATAATCATATGTTATGTTTCATTTCACGCGCAGCTTGTATGCCTTGATGTACTTTACTCTGGCAGGTACAGAACATATGTACATGTACGAATGTAAACGCATGGTAGGCAGGCATATAGGAGCGCGACGCGTTCACCACGTTTCAAGCCCATTTTTATTGCAATTTGCACATTCCTCGTCTTGTTTCAGCGGCTCTTGAGAAACTTGTCAACTTTTGCGGTTTCTGCGGCAGAGGTGGCTGATTGCACTGTACAAGGTAGTGAGTCTTCTTCTGAACTGACCTTGATTACTGCTTGCCACAAGTCCCTTTCTCTGATCTTTCCTTTCTTTCGATTAGTCCAGCTCTTCCGAGTAGTTCATTGCATGCTTTAAGCCGAAAAAAATAAGAGCAATCACATGTCTCCCATGCACAAACTCTACGAACCGTCTGGTTGGCTTGCAATTGAGACATCGCGATTGCCTACCGAAACCATGTGTGCGGAAGCGCTACCGAAGCCATGTGTGCGGAAGCGTGAGACATCGACGTGATTGTATACCTTATGCTTCCACGTGTGCAGAAGCAAGAGACATTGCATTGATTGCCTCAGCCCCAGCACATAACGTGTCCTATATATGTGTCGAGCCGTGTTCCATGCAAGTTGGCGAGAAGTTTCTGATGTTATACAAGGTAGCTATTATATAGTCATTTGTAATTTAATTGTAGCCCTACACATCCAACGACGCAGTTTTCGTGGGATGTAGGACATGTGGAAATGTGACAGTTTAACATTTTATTTGACGTTCAAAAACATTTGTTAAGACATGTTCGTGAAAAATACATATATATATATATATTTTCCGTTATTTTTATTATTGTTGTTACTATTCTTATTGTTATTATATATATATATGTCTTGTTGCCACGCATGGCATGTTCGAGTGACAGAAACTTTCGGCGCAAGCGCATGTGAGGAAAAGCTCGAGCGTCCTTCAGGGGAAGGAGTGTTTCCGCTATTGGTAGCGGAGCCTGCTCACAAAGAGCAGGCTCCAGCCATGGCTCTTTGATTTGACCTTCAGGCGAAGGTCCCCACGCATGGCATCTATGTCGTCGTCATCCACCACGGAAAGTGGTTTCAGGTTCTCGGGGGACTCCGAGGATGGGCGTGAATACAAACGTTGGAAGCAGTGGGTGAAGAATAAGCTGTTGACATTGGACAAGTTGGCTGAATCCTCCCGACCCGCATATATTTACACCTTGTTGACTGGGAAGGCTTTGGAAGCTGTTGAACATTTGGTTCCCGAGAATTATCAAAAGAAAGGAGGTGACGAGATCCTATGGCAGCTTCTGGACAAAAGATTCCCGCAACAAGAGGTGGTCGATGAGCTGGGAGAGATTTTGACGCAGGTCTTCAGCCTCAAGTCCAACGACGGCGAGACTATGAAGCAGTGGACTGCCAGAGCCTCTGAATTGCTGGAACGCTGTCATCGGAAGACTGGCGTGTCGTTTCCTGAAGAAGCCAGAGGATGGCTATTGTTGCACAGGTCCGGTTTGACGGACGAACAGAAGGCAGTGGCCATCGCCCGAGCCAATGGTGATCTGAAGAGAGAATCCATAGCCGCTGCACTCAGGTCATGCTATCCAGACATGGTCCTCTCATGCAAACGTGTTGGAATGGCTGTTGCAGAAGAGCTTGACACAGGCGGCGGTGAAGGCATCGCCGAGCAGTTGGACGATTGCTTTTCTGACGTTGAACAATTGTTGGATGATCATCAACTTGGTCAGGAAGCCACTCAAGAGACGGAGACGTTTCAGGAATCCGAGGTCGCAGAGGTCCTTGCAGCCACTTGGAAGGAGAAAAGGCAAGAGCCGAACCGCTTGCAGAAGACCCGGCAATTTCAGAAAGCTCGAGATGTAAAAAGAAGCTCCCGCGTTGAAATTGAGGAGATGAAACGCAATTCAACTTGCAATCGATGTGGACGCAAAGGGCACTGGGCCGTGAATGTCGCTCCAAGGAGTCAGTGAAAGGACAAGGCAAGATCAAGACTCCTGGGACAAGCTCAACCACGGGGGCAGCACTGGTTGAAGAATTAGATTTTGTGGCCTCCGTCACTGCCCGTCCGACGTTGCTTGATCGAGTTCGGTCGCGTGTTGCTGGAAAGCGGGAGCATGAGTGTCTTCCTCCCGCATCAGAGATATTGCTGGTTTCATCCCCCGGATACGGTGTGCTCGACTCCGGCTGCGGCCGGACGATTGTGGGAAGGTCCACTCTCAAGGCCTTTGAAAAGTTGTGGATCCAACGCGGTTGGTCGTTACCCCAACCCATTGCTGAGGTGCACCAGTTCAAATTCGGAAACGGGGAAGTCGAGACTTCCACGGTATCCATACAAATGCCGGTCGTGCTGGCCCAGCGCAAGGGCGTGATCCGAGCTGCAGTGATCAAGGGAGATGCTCCACTTCTCCTTAGTAGATCTGCTCTCAAGACCTTGGGAGCCACCTTGGATTTTAAGCGTGATTGTTTGCATGTTTTTGGCACGAGTGCCCCTTCGCACCAACAGTGTGTCGTTGTTGGGTGAGAGTGTTGATCCCGTGCCCGCAGCTGCTTTCACCGAAGTGATGGCCTCAGTTGAAGAACCTGAGGAGCAAGCGGCTGAACCACTCAGCCCAAAGTCAGGAGTGCAGGTGACAGCGGAGACTCGTGAATCCAAGGATGCTGACGATGCGCCCCGGTCCGGCCCGCGCCTCCAGCGCCCCAGAGGTGTGAAAACAGATGTATCTGATACATCTGCCAACGAGCCTTCCAAGTCAGCCATGTCGCCTCCTCCAAACCTGGCAGCAAGAGGACTGTGATGTTGTTTCCACTCCATGGCTCTCACATGAAGGGCCCTCATGGAAACATGTCTTTCGACGACGAGTCACGGAAAGTGACACTGGCCGTGTTTTAGATGATACGACAGTATAGATCCAGGGACTGCGCAACACAAAACGATTGTTCGCTTTTTCGATCGCGCCGCCCATGTGAAGACTGAATTTTTTTCCTTTGGGATACCATCATCAGTGCCGCCAACTGGGCCAACTGCATCGACAAGCTCAAATGCGTCTAGCTATCCAGGAGAGAAAACAGAAAGAACGGTGTTTGGTCATGGAAGTGTTCTCCCCTTGAAGGTTCTCCACTGTGGCTGAATCGGCTGGTTTTCGTGCCAAGTCATCTGATTTGATCAATGGTACGATTTTCGCCTCAGCCGCCACAGGAAATCCGTGGAACAAGACCTCTTGACCGAGAAGCCCGCTCTTCTGGTGCTGTGTCCTCCTTGCACCAATGAAGGCGGATGGATGCACTTGAATAGTTCAAAGTGGGATAGAATGGAGTATCTAAAAGAAGAGCGCAGAGTCGTAGCTATATCCGATGGTGTTGCCGCCTGTTTCAAATGCAAGTGTCTGTCGGGGGAAGGGCCATGTTTGAGCAACCTACGGGTTCCATGATGTGGTCATACCCAGAGGTCCAAGCCCTTTGTTGTAGGTACACCACGGTTAAGCTGCACATGTGCAGGTACGGCCTGCAACTGCCTGAGAGCAATAGATTCATCCGCAAGAGCGCACGACTGTTGGTGACTCATGAAAACATGTCGTGCCTCGGACTTACTTGCGCCGGTGAAGGCGAACGCGCAGTTCATGACGTATAGTGGCAGGCAGTGCCCCTGTGTCCGCAGTATCAGTGATATGCTGGTAGATACCCCAACAAGTTTGCGCAAGCTGTTTTGGAAACGGTCGAGGCTTATCATGAATCCCATAATGAGTCATTGTCAGCGCAGCCCGATGAACGCACCACTCTCAAAGTCCTTGAGGACAATTTCCCAGGCAAATGCTGGAACGAAGTCTTGGCGGCAGGTTCCGCTGGCCAACGCACGGATGCTGAGATGCTACAGGCGTTGACCAAACTCCATCGCAACTTAGCGCGCCCTCCTAACTGTGACATGGTTCGAATTCTGCGTCATGGTCAGGCCCATGAACAAGCGCTGAGATTAGCCAAAGATTTCTTATGCGATTTCTGCAAAAGTCAGGCCAGACCTAAGGTACCCTTGCCGGCCAGCCAAATCGAGTTACAGAGTTCAATAAGCAAATTGCCATCGATGTCAAACATTTACAGGGGTGGCATCCGAACCAAAAGTCAAGGCTCTCAACATAGTTGACACAGCCAGCAGTTTTCAGCGGATGACCCCTTTCTTCCAAACGGAGACCTCTCAACTCTTGCGGAGTTTGTTGAATGAGCACTGGATCGCATGGGCTGGTCCAAATCATGAGATCATCATGGACCCAGCAAGAACCAATCTGGGTGATCCCATGACCATTCCAGCTGAACTGGACAGTACTCATGTCAGACCCATGTGCCCATTGGCAGCTAGGGAAATTTAAATGTGAGTCTCACGGTGGTTGGTTTAATCGGCCTAGTGGATGATTACACCCCAAAAGCAAAGAAGAATGGTTGGAGTGTGTCTCTCATGCCCATATTAAGAACCAGATGCTCCAGGTCCACGGATATTCGCCTCACCAGTTCGTGTTTGGTCGAAACCTCAATATCCCTCGACCTAAATGAGCCTCTGTCCATCGTCCCAGCCAGAGCATCTTTGACAGAAGAAGCCATCAGCCGGACCCAGTCGATGTGAGCCTCTGCTCGAATGGCTCTGATCCAAATGCAGGACAACCGTGCGCTGCGAGTTGCCTCGCTGTGCCTGGTGCGTCCACGTCTGCCGAGTCTGGGCCCTATGGACCAGTACGCCGAAGGGTGTCGGGAAAGGATGGGCCAATGTCTTTGTGGCGCCCTCCAGCCATGAGACAAGAGGATTTCGTAGAAATCACGAAAGAAGTTGTCCCACAGTTGGTCGAAGACGTGTTCATGAACAGCTCTAAGCGTCCCTGGTCTCCATCAGGATCTGAGCAGGTTAGAACTGAAGAACCAGCCACTTCCCGACCCCGGATCGAGACCGATGAAGC